GGTTACAAGTATTTCTTATTATCCTATATGAACATCTCTTCTTTTTTAAATCTAGTTAATGTAGAATATATACTGAGTTGTGTATTTATTCATTCGAATGTAAGTTAATTATAACGGTTAATTATTGCATCTTGCTAGTTAAAATGTTTGTCAAATATAAATTTGCTATGCTAAGAATAACAACAAATTTAATTTTTATATAGAATAATTACTGCTGGACGATCAAAAACATATTTTGTCTCAAAGTGGATTTAAAGTAGACGTTTTGCTCCAAGATTCGATATCATTTAAAACGAATATGTAGAAGAAACAAACTGTAAGGACGGCCCGTCGGTAGACTCTCGGAAGCCCTAAGAAGCCCAGGAAGAGCCGCAGACATTCCATCCAATCACAGCTAGGGGAATGTTCTAGAAATGCCAACGTGGAGCTTCTCCATTGGATGGATTAGTTTGATACCTATGTGCTTATTGGTTGACCTAAATGATAATTTATTTTCAGCCAATAACTATAAATACACGAGATTTCTGTGCTATATTTTGACATTGTTCGGGGCAATAAACTTCCTGCTTACCAGTCTTTGTCTTCTCTCTCTTCGCGACGTTGCGGGTTCTATCGTTCAAGTAGTCAAGTAGTTCGCGGCATATTAAGAATCAAGGCTCTAGATATAACACAAACAAACAAACAGAATAAGAACTTAAGATTCTCCAAGGCTTACTGATTCACATTTAAGCTTGTGATATCAATATACTTTGTGTCTTTATAGAATTCAAGACATTTTACTATTTTGTCAGTGCTGATAATGTTATTGACTAAACGATTTCTCATCGAGGTCTAATGAGTAGTATATAATCAATAAATGATTGTTTTTAGTAATTCAGTTTTCATTTGTTTCTGGATTTTCATGAAATTGTTTTTTTCTTTTCTTTTAAAGATATAAAATGACAATTTCAATCCGTTAAATTATAAATTTTGCTGACAATTTTGTCAGAAAACAAATTATAAAAAAAGGGTTTTATGGAGATTTTAGTAATTTTTTTTATATAGTTTAAATCATGAGTCAGATCAAGCTAGAGCACTATGGAAAACCTGGAAGCACTGGACGAGAAATAGGATTGTGGATACGCACTGCTGAGGAGTCCCACAATAGGAGGAAACGGCCATCCAGTGTTTCCAGGTTTTCCATAGTGGTCTAGCTTCAATTGTCTCATGATTTCAACTATATAAAACAAATTTACCAAAAGCTCCACAAAACCCTCTTCTGATAATGATCATATGCTCACTAGTGACTGACACCAAGAGGTATTTCCTCGAGTTCTAGTGAGAAGCAGTGACCAGTGGGGTTCAACCAGATCAGTCGTGAGATATCAACTCACTGAAGATATTGATGAATGGTTGCTCAACTTCGTGGATTGGTTGAAGTTAGACATTAACATTATTGGATACCAGCTTGATGATCTAGTGGTTAAGCGCTCGCGTGTCAGAATGATAGGTTCTGGGTTCGAATCTCGTGAGGTGGGATTGTAGATGTGCACTGCTGAGGAGTCTCACAATAGAAGGAAACGGCCATCCAGTGTTTCCATGGTGGTCTAGCTTCAATTGACTCATGATTTCAACTATATAAGTAAATAAATTGTATAATTCGAAAGTATTTTATGTAAATGATTTAAATAGAAGATAGTTGGAGAAATTCAGTAGACCATATTGAGTTATGATTGTTTTATTGTTTTTAAAAAGATATCGATCAAACTACTTAAAAGTTAATCTCTATACAGATATATTTTTAACATAGCTAAAAAAAACATATTTTTTCACTAAGTGAATGTTTTCCTTACAAGCTTAAGAGTTAGGGAGAAAATTTGAGAAATTCTAGAAAGATTACAGTAAAATAAACTACTTTTGAAAATAATCGAATATTTAAATAAACAAAAAAACGTAAATAGACAGTAAATTGAAAGACAAAAAAATACACACGCAAACGGTAATAAAACGAACATTCTCCATTTTAAAAAAAATACAATCTAAATTACAATCAGAAGGGGGTTTTTGGTGGAATTTTGTTATTTGCATAGTTGAAAGCGTGAGTCAATTGAAACTAAGACGAAACGGCAGTCCCATGCTTCCAGGTTTTCTCTGGTGGTCTAGCTTCAATTGACTCACGCTTTCAACTATAAATTACAAACAATTATTAACTGTTATCTATTCAATGTATAATTGAGATTTTTTACCCTATTTGAATAATTGAGGTTGAGTTTTGTTAGTATCATAAGTGTTATCATTGAAAATAAAGCATAAACCCAAATCAGTTTACTATATAAAAACTCGGAAAGAATATAAAACAGTGTCAATTCTTTACTCTTAACAGTTTATTGACTAATACAACTTTTATCTTTAGTTCAAATGATAAATACAGGAGCATTAACTAGTTACCATCAATTAATTTAAATGATTCACTAATTAGTGAATTATTTATAACTCGGGAAAAATTTCCCGATTGAAAAATTAATTAGTATTAATGATATTAACATTTGTATGTTGATATAGGAAGCCAATTGTGTTAATAACTAGAGAAAGATAAACTGAAACTATCTTTGTCAAATCTATTTAAATATAAAATAGAGAGTATTTAAAAGAAGAAATCAACATGATATTAATCAGTATGTATTTACATTTCTTCATGAAACGTACTTGTTCAACAACTTAAAAAACGATGAAATATAGATTTAAAGGGAAATAGCAATGAAATGGAAATACGTGACATATAATATTAATAGACAACTCATAGCCCCCAAATGCCCTGGTACGGTAGAGAGTGGGGAGAGTTCACTATCCCTCTCGAAATGCTCTAACATGGCCACGCGAATATATAGCCTCTGACAGGGAAGTCCTACTCTCTGCCTTCTCGCGGCATTACTGTTGTTTACGAAATTGAGAGGAAAAAAGTGAATGTTCAGCGCTTTAACCGGGTTGGTGGACACGGAAAGTCCACCTAGGGAAGTTGGAAAACCTTCGTTCCAAACCATTGGTGCACATGGGCTCTAGTATCTTTTTAGGTAACGAATGGCATATGAATCAATCGTTGATCACCGGCTACCATGGGACTGTATCTCCTCACGATGCTTCACTTCCTTGTGGATCAGATCTTTAGGTCAAAGTTTCCGGGTGTGGCCCCCTAAAAAAACCACCTGTTTCAGTTTGGGCACCCGGGTAGTATCACAGCCTTCGCACAAAGTGCGACGCATATATATCTGGTGCCCCCTTGTACCAATATTTATGTGTCTAAATAAATAAATAAAATAACACTTTGAATGTCAACAAATTATTCAACTAGACTTTTCTAACATCAAGTAATACCATTATTTTTTAATGACAATCTTAAATTTTCCACAAGGATTGAATATGAAGGGATCATAAATTAATCAAGTCATAACTTATCATAGAGCCTGTCAGAAATTATTCAGTAAATAAACTATATAAAAAATTCTATTTGAAACTGATCCACAGTGTTCTGTAAATGATCAGGAAATATTTCCTTCCCCATTACGTAGGTATAGTAGTGTAAACATAGTTCAATTTTATAAATGAAAAGATTTCAAAATAGATTTGACAGATATCCGACAAACTTATTTTAGCAAAATAGTATTTGATCATTTAAAAATTTCAATTCCTCAACTTAATAAATACATAAAATTGGAAAATATGGACCTTAAAAATTAAACTGAGAGTATTTCTATGCGAACTTAATGTCTTTGTATGGTTAGGAATGTAGACTAGTGATTCGACTTAGAAATAATTAACAATTCATCCCATCTTAGCTACTAAGACTTCTTTAACTAATATTAGTCAATGAAAAGAAGTAAACTTAAGCTCATAGGTACTAATTGGGGTTTATAATTTGAAAACTTGTGAAATTTATTTTTCGGAATGACTACAGAAAATAGTTGGCATGATTAGTAGTCAGTGGTGGGGATTTGGAATAATTCATAGATATTCAAATACTTGAATATAGGATTTCGTTAGAACTATTACAGTTTAATTTAACTTTCCAACTGACTTTTAAGGACATTTCATTGTTCTGTCTTACTCTACTACACGCGCTACAACTAGAATAACCACATGGGGATATTCGTTCAATAAAATGTTAACCAACGTAATTTAGTTGTATTATTATTATTATGTATATTTTTATTATATATTTATTACGCAACTAGATTAGTATATTTTTATATTGCGTTTTTCTTAGGCTTGTTTATACCATTAACTATTATTTTACTGTTTATAAATCCTATTTTGTTGCAGATGGATTATTCACAGCTTGCCCAAATTACAACAACTTTGAATAACTTATGCATAAGTATTATTTTTCATTTTGTGGCGCGATGCGCTCCAGTATTTTCGTACATAAGCCTATGTATGTTTAAAATTTAGTAATAACAGAAGCTGAAAACCGACGTTTTAGACTCATGTCATGACAAAGAGAAAAACCAATAGGGGCTTTGTTACGTTATCCCAACGTCAACAGTGCTGTTCAGGGGTATAATCGACCAAATATGGGATTATAAGAGAAATAGTGGACGAAGAAAAGATAAAATTGGGGTTTCGATTGATGACTTTAGAACGTGATATAGGTTAGCATCTCAAAAAAACAACAACACTTTTGAGTTTGAAGATGTATTGTTAAGTAGCGCTTAGGACATTGAGAAATATAAGCTACCAAAGTAAATGAAACTTCACCCAAACTACCATTTTGTTCTCATACAACTGAAATTAACAAAGTGTTTATTAAGATAATATTATACTGTTTCATATAACCGAAATGAAATGAAATAATTCTTGAAATAAACAGATGTTCTTTTTCAGTCTATGAATAGATATGTTACGTATGTCATGATGTGTTACTAAACTTGTTTCACTCGACTGAGTATCTTGGAGTGAAAATGTTCTGACTCTATAGTCTCTAAGGAAAAAAGAATTTTGTAAAAACAATAAGGGAATATATGAAATCAAGGATTTCTGCAAGTGATAATCGGTATTTTATGCAATCCTCTTTTACACAATTCCTGTATATGAGTTTTGAATTGTTCTACACATTGTTCACAAACAGCTGTAATTAATGGAGTATTAGGAATTGATGGTATCACTGCCGTAGTAGCTGTATTGGATAAATTTGTATCTGCTTCTCTTTGTGTGCTATCATTATTACCATTATCCCCGCTTGTACGTATTTCCACATTTCTAGCAACTGAAAGTGGCATTATGCTTGCAGCTACGTCATTATGCACAGTATCATTGACATTATTATTATGTGAATTTTGATCTGCACTATTATTGATTGGTGGTCCTGTTGCACTGTTTACAACGGGACTAAAAGTGATTGTTGAAAACGGACGACAATGTAATGAACAATGATTGGATGGAACACGTTCAGCACGACTTTCCATACGTGAACACGAATGAGTAAAACTCTGTTGAATATCTACAAGACATTTTTCTAAAACTTTTATTCTTCTCCTGAAAAAAACAAAATAAATTTATTAATATTCACCGACTAATATAGAGACTTTCATTTGCATTTTATTCGACCAAAATAAAACGAAACTGTAGGAACGGTTTTTGACGAGACTTTTGATAAAATAAGCGATAATATTATTCACTGTTTAAGCGAAAGGCCTGACTGGGAACTACTTAAAGTTTCGCTTTTCACTCATATGAAGTCAATCACAAGGAGATAAATACGATATCATTAATTCAATAGTCGCTGTTTCCAATGTATGACCTCCATCCGATGACTTTGGTGAGAGCTGTCTTGCACCTACCATAGTTGACTAGAACCTTAAAAAACTCACCTAGACACTCGTCTCCACTGATAAGGATATAACTGAAAATTTTTTCAGTCAGTTAAAATTAACTTATAGCTTAAGATGGCTGTGCATTGGCCAAAGTTGTCACATTACATTACCACAACGAGATCTATTTACGAAAATCAATAGTACAAGAATTAAAATAGTATGGTAATGATAATGAGGAAAATCAAGCGTTGAGAATGTGGTTTGAAAAATATAAAGAAAAAAATACTGAAGATGTAGATCAAGAGTAATATAAACAGTAAATAGATCTGAGCTACTGTGCTCGATTTGAGTTATCGCGCGGACTCCAACCAAGTAGCCTGTATTTACAAATACGGCTTAGATTAACGATCAGCGACTTCATACACATACGTCACATCTTATTTCTTGGTCCTTATCTTTCTTCTGACCTAATTTCGCACTTTTAAACATAGACAGTCGAGGTAGACAATGATAAAATATACGTAGCACACATCCCGACCACCTTAATTGAAGTTTTACTACCTTATCAACGTTTTGTTATCTTCACCTGATATCCTACACTTAACCTTAACATTGCTTACTCAACTGTCCGATGATACTCTAGCAATGCTCAGAAGATACACATAATTAAACACTTGCAGCCTTTCAACGATCTTTCACAGCCATAGAGTAATATGGCGTGGACGACTGTGTAGTATACTCGTTCTTCTGTTAGCACACGGACATTTTCCTTAAGCCACGAATGAAACAAGGTAGAAACGACCAAGAAAGCTGTTTAGCGCTCCCTGATTAAAGCTAATTCTGAAACTAGTATTATTTTGTGATGAAATTCGTTTTAAAATTGAACAAACTACATGAAGCACTCATTTGTCTGCAGTAACTATATTTTAAACACTGTGTGTATTTTTATTATTAATATAAAGTATTTTTATTGTTAACATTGACAAACATCATCTTCATGTTGGACACGATTAAAATGAGTCTGTCAAAATTAAAAGAAACACTAAACAAATGTAGCAGAAAACTTTCTATTGAATACTGCTAACTGTTGATTGACGAATTATATGCATTTATGACAAGTATAGACGATCAACCACATCTTTGTCGTTAAGATTTAGAATTTATTATAGAAAGGAGAATTTTGATAATAACGGATGGTTTCTGATATATTTCCCTTTCTCTGTAGTATACTGTGATAAAAAATTAGTACGAGAATAAGACTAGTCACGTTATATCAGATCGAGGATTTACGACCCAGAATAGAGTATCGTATTAGCAATAGATAATATTTTATTCAACATAGTTACAAGCAGTCACACTCAGTGAGTCCGGAGTAGAAATCAATGAGAGGAAAGAAAATCACATATTTATTAGTCGAAAGGCTAAATGTATAATTGTTCACGTTTAATGACCAATCATATTCTACTCCCACTGCCACATATCAAATTTAAAATCTTCCATATGTCCAAGAATACTTTTTGCTGATCACGGTTGCATTTTATTGCTATAAAATCATTATTTATGTAATTCAGTAATCGAGTAAATTTTCACATTTTGAATGTTATACATTTAGTAGGAGGGTTGAAGTGAACAATGGAGTTTAGAACTAGCAGATAAACAGACACCACATTCTATTACTTTAACATCAGACGAGGTGCGATGAACACAATTTTCATAATCATTGATCAACTAAATAATTGAACTTTTCTACTGAATGTTTTACAAGTAGATAAGAATTTCTTTCTATTATAAACGTGATGTTATGTTTAAACAATAGTATCAAAACAAATTATGAATAAATCAAATTACTTATCATCACACATTGATCCATTTAGACAATTCAACATAACTATAATTCACCAGAAACCTGATATGTGCATTTAAAAAGAAACAGCTGTTAACCTTTCTGTCTTGATAACATAAACTCTATTTCGCTGCATCATTTCTTCCACTCTACTCAAGTTCGATAATTTTACTTTTAACTAACTTGGCTCCACATATCTTATTCATTTATTTATTAGCGTTTGATCATAATGTAACTGCTTCGGTTTTTGCTACTATCAATATTTTTAGAATATTTTTCTACGTGGGATATATATGTTAAGAACTTTTATTTAGTCTCTTGAACCCATTTATATCTGCTGTTATAAGCTGACGTGTTATCATGACGAATTTCAATCCAATTTATTCACGTAATTTTGATTTGGAAATATAATAAGATTTAAGCAGTTAATGAAAATCGAACGAGATGAAATGAATTTACATTATTCTACTTAAATCTTTGTTTCTACATTTTTCAAGAGAACAGAAAGGGAACTGTGTGCATAAAATACATTATTTCAACTTTTATTCACAACGATTTTCAAAAGCGATAAGTCAGTGATAAATTTCAATGAATTTATATGACATACCATAGTAATCTTCTGTTATAGTATCAACAGATAAGTACTATGGTTTGTGAAATAGATGAAAAGCAATTCTGGTTTACCGTGAACCGATAATTAAATATATTAAAGTTATATTCTATTAGGTAAAACGGCATATCAGATAATCACGCTGTTAATTAGTTCTTAAACTACTATTGTTGTATTAGATAATATTATTGATTTATCTAATTAAACTGATCAGTGTAATAAATAAATTAGTTCTTTAAATGAGTGCACTGATACTAGTGTCTGGTAAATCCTATTTAGTAATGATTTGAACTAGGAATCGGAAATAAAAATGTCAAGAATGATGTAGATAAAACCGGAAGACAAGTAGTGGATCAGTGGTTAAGGCGTTCAAGTTGCAGATTCGCACGTAGATCAATCTACATCGGTTTGGACAACCAGGAAGTATCACTGGCCCTAACGACCACTGTGTCGCTTAAAGCCAAAAACGCGAATTCGTCTGGTTGGTAATACACTAGTAATAATACTAGACAAGCCTAAAATCAGTTCTGATGAGCGTACTACGTTTTACTGATAAAAATGTCGAAAGTAATATCATATTGTTCAACGTCGTAGAGAGCACAATCTATAAATGGCCTACAATTATTTTTAAGAAGCGAAATAGCTAGGTCACTACAGAATAAAATAACTTCTTTTTTCTACCTGAAATAGAAGAATGGTAGCATCAAATACGACGGCGAAACTTGGTACCGTCTTCTAAGAATCATGAGCAAATGGGTAAGATATTTAACTGGGAGTCATACAGTTCAACATCATGAGATATTATGAATTTTTTTTTAGAATATATAGACATACGTAAAAACAGTTAAAAGGAAAATATCTCACTCAAGTACTTCATTTTTAAGTTCTATTGATAGATTTATTTCTTCAAATGCTTTAACCATCCGACCATAATCTAAACGAGCACAAGAATCCAAAGCTGCTTGTCGTAATCTACTCAGACCATATAAATCAGCCATTCGAAGAAACAACGGTGCCGTCACATCATTGAGACGAAATGTAAGTGTCCTCTCAGCTAAGCTAACCATAGAATCGATTTGGTATCGATGTAAAATGGGCAGCAACTTTTCCGCTGTTTCGACTCGAATATGAAAATGAAGAAGATAAAATATGACAGAAAAACGTGACTAATGTGAAACTAACCTCTCCGTTTTCAGAAAACTAGTACATCACAGTTTGGGGATTGGTAACAGATAACAAAAAGGCAAAACAGGTAATTCGAGACTACCAACTATACGAATAATTGGTACTAGGAATTTCGCAATTATTTTTAGGTAGTTTACAACCTACTTAAAACACATTTAAGTAGATTGTACATATGAGTATAACATTTCACTGGGAGTTGCACAGTTTAACATGAGATTATAGAAAACTTCCAGTATATATATATATATATATATATATATATATATATAATATTTGTTCAAGTGTTGAATAATTCGTTCACTTCGGAAATCGAGCTTATTTTGTTTCAAACGGAAACAGATTTCAGATAAAAAAACGACTAATAAAATAAGAGTACGCTGAGTGAACAAAGTTATACATATTAACTTATGCATATGCGCGCTGCATAGCTTCTGATATCATTACAGATGGATAAAGATGCAAATCTTAGAAAAGCAAAAATACAGGACAGCAAAAAAGGTCACACAATCATTATTATCAAGATAAATGCAAGACTAAACCATTTGTTCAACCATGAAACCGTTATCAAAGGCAATGGGGCAAATAATTGTAGTATAAATAGGAAAATAATAATATTATCATGTTCATCAGTAGGTAAAACCAAACATTAGTGGATATGTTAAATATCACTCTATGTAATGGTTGTGCCACTGACAACTTCGGATAAAGTTAGTGAGAGCTTTCCCATAATTACAAATCACCCTAAAGTATTTATAAATGTGATGTCATTCTGGGGAGCTACAAATATCAATCATCTTTAGTTTGCTGACTGCCAGTCGATAGTATCACATTTATGCTCGTAAAATATTGTACCAAATAAATATGTAAACTGGGGTCATCCAAAAGCTTGTATCACAAAACTCGAGGTTTATTAATCTTGCCTTCTTCAAAATACTTTACATTGGTAGTAACACATCCAACTCATTACGGTTTCCACGGTCCCATCAGTGCATAGGGGTACTCAAGAGCCCGATTCTCTAGCTGCACGTTAGTCCGTTAAATTTCCAAGTCCCGACCATATTAGATTTAGAAAAAAAATATCAAGGGTTAAAGTCTCGTGATCAGGGGTGATGCATAATAGGATTCCGACCAAGAACTTACAGTTATGCTTTAACTCAAATCCAATGACGATGATGTTAGAGAAATATAGATCGTTAAAAACTTCGTATATGTTCACTGACTCGATGGAGTTAGTGATCATGGGAAAAAATAAGTAAAATACGGGAGTATGTTTATATCATATATTTATGTGAACAGTAAACAAACAACAGGAGCTGAAGCGATGAGAAAAGCATTATAGCACATCGATCTAATTAATTGTGAATCTATAAAAACATTCAAGGTTACAAGTGAATAACTAAATGATATGCTTGTGGCCGAGTGGATGGTTAGTTGATATGTGGCTCGATAGAACCGCCAAACAGGGCGCAGCGAATTATCGGTTGAACAGTGACACGAAACCCGTACGAGCAGACTAGAGTGCTAACCGGTCCTGCGATCTGCCTAGCCCAGCCAATTAAGTCCAAAACACCAATAACAGCCTCAGTGGTACGAATCATTATTTACAAACATACTGGGTTTTCATACAAACCAAAGTAATCAATAACTGAGTATAACTCAAGAATCGTATGATAATAAATAATAATAAATAGACCTAAAAGTTAACATTCGTAATTCACCGGGGGATATAACACTAAAAAAGCCAAACATGGGAATTCACAAAATAACCAATGATGCGTCTGTCTATAAGGTGTAATAAATACACATATGTGTTATAGGCAGCCGCTACAAGCCAAATTTCTAGACAGTCATGGGTAAATACTCAGATGTATTGTTTTATGCAACAGTAATTCACCAGCAACACAAGAATCTATTTCTACGCGATTCATTAACAGTTTAAGAAACTCCACGTAAAATTCAGCATCACTGTTTGCCCCCTAGTGAGAAAAACCTAATGGGGAATACAGCGAATGCTAGAAAAATTAGGTCCACGTATTTATTGGACAGATTGTGTAAATGTAATTAATAAAATGAGCCGTCAAACTAAAATGAAATAACATACCTGTCATATCACAACCACCAGGTGTGTACATGTGACGTAACATTTCCCTTATGTCATCAAACTCATCAACTGGAATAACAACTTCATTTTTTTGATTTTCCTAAACAAATTAAACAAAACACAACAAGCGAGAAATAAGAACAATATTGTAAACAACAAATAGCAGGTTTTTAAAAGCATTATTACTGAAAGCATTTAGAGGGAAAATAACCCAAAAACTAACTGAATATTAAAGTAGAATACCAAACTTTCTTTTAATATTACCCAAGAGGTTAGAAATAATACGCAAATATACTAATGAAAGTTATCCTATTTTGTATAATCAAAGAGGTACCAAGTAATATTTATTTATGCACCGAAGTAACTGTTTCAAGATTGTGACATCAAATGAATTATTGTCGATGTGCTGGAACAGACGATGCCGAACCTCAATGGTGTTGCCACAGGATAACAGAAATCCTTCGGAGACAATGGCGATAAAACACAGAGGGTCGCTTAACAAAGTCAACTTGGAGAGGCAAGGTTTCACAAGCATAGACTAAAACTACTCTTTCCGATCCATTATAGGTCTGACCTTTAACAGCTAGACTAGCATCACGAAGGTACAAAAGATAGTCCACATTAGCATAAGCCACTCCGGCTTTCATTAAACGTGGATTAATCTTATCAGTCACATCATCACCAGCACTTACGCAGCTATCCAGATACACAAACTTCTCGAAGGATTCTATCTATTCATTTCCAAGAGTGAGTGCAGGTTCAGGATCCTGACAGTCTTGCAAAAGTGCTACACACTTGGATGCAAGGCAAATGCTACATTCCAAAGTCGTGCAGGAGGAAGGCTGACAGATGCATTCCAAGTGAGGACTGAAGTCGAACAAGGCTGTCTACTCCCCCTTTTCTCTTTCTTCTGATGGTTGACTGGATTATAGAGACCTCCACATCTCAGAGGATGAACCGAACAGAATGAACAGCCTGAATGCAACTAGACGATTTGGACTTCTCAGATGACCTGGCCCTTCTATCCCATACAAACCAACAAATGCAGGTGTAGAAGCAGTAGGCCTCCACATATACAAGGGAAAAAGCAATATCTTCAAATACCACACAGAGAACACCAACTCAATCATACTTCACGGAGAAGATTTAGAAGAGATGAGAACTTTCAAGTACCTGGAAAGAATTATCGACGAACAAGGAGAATCTGATGCAGACGTAAAGACAAGGATTGGCAAAATAAGAACAGCATTCCTAGATTCGAAGAACAGAAGGAACTCAAAACAACCATCAACCTACATCAAAGTCAGAATCTTCAATACGAACGTTAAGACAGCTCTACTGTATGGAGCTGAAACTTGGAGAACTACTATAACTATCATCAGAAAAGTACAAGTATCTACAAACAAATGTCTACGTAAAATGCTGAATGTTCACTAGCCGGATACCACTAACAACAGCATACTGTGGGTAAAAACAGTTTCCAGATAAAGAGGAATTTAAGGAAAGATGCTGGAAGTGGATACGATATACATTGTAGAAATCACCAAACTGTATCCTGAAGAGAAACGGAAAAGAGGAGAAACAAATAACATACTCCGTCGACAACTGGAAGCAGACATGAAAAGGATGAATAGCAACTGGACAGGAATGCTCACGATGGAGAATGCTGGTGGGCGGCCTATGCTCTTCCACGAGAGGTAATAGGCGTAAGTAAGAAAGTAAGGCATATAACATAAGTATGAACACAGACTGTCAACTAACTGAGAATTGGAAGGCTTAGATATCATCACACATTAAGACAATATCAACCACAGGCTCAAGATCGAAAAGTCTTTTTTTAGGCATTCGATCCACATCATCATTAATTAAATCCGACAGAGTTGTTACCAGAACGTCATTGATAGCTAGGTTGAAGAGGAACGATGAGTTGGGAAACCCTGCCTAATTCTACTGCTTGAATGAAACAATAGAGGTAATTGTATGACCTCACTCTGTCTGAGGTGTTTGTATATAGGGCCTTCAGGATGTGAATGAACTTCTCAGGAACGCCTGTTTCCAAAAGACGATCCCAGAGAACAGTCTTGTATAACAAATTGGAGGCGGTCCTGATGTCGAGAAACACAACGATTGTTGGCTTGCAATTAGTATGGTGGTGTCACAATCGGAAGTACACTTATCCCTCGATAGTTGTTGCAAAAACGACGTGAACCCTTTTCAAAGATAGGAACAACTATTTACTAATCCCATGATGCTAGAGCACTCTAATTGCCAGACGTTCGTAAACAATTCAGTTAGTTCCATAGCCAGAAAATCGTCATCATTTTGGAAAAGAGCCGAAGGTAAATCATCTGGACCTGGTGATCTGCGGCATTTCAAGGGCTGGGTGTTCTTGCTGACTTCCGCCTTGTTAGGTGGATCAGTTATCACCAACCACGGAGGACAGGACAGCCTGATCGATGTTACCGGGAGAGTAGACCGTTTAGACTGTTCTTTGAAAATCTATCCATTGTCCAAGGCTACAGATGTGAGTGATTGAGATCCTATTGGCCTCACACATTGTTTGACTCACAAAAGACCTCTTGCTAACAGTGACTCGGATGAGTTGAAAGAGCAAAAAAAAGCCCCCAATGCCCTGGTACGACCGAGAGTGGGGAGAGTCTGCTCTCCCTCTCGAAATGCTCTCATATGGCCACGCGAATATATAGCCTCTGCCAGGGATGTCCTACTCACTGCCTCCTCGTGGCGGGGGTGTTGTTCACAAAAGTGAGAGGACGAAAAGCGAATGTCCGGCGCTTTAACCGGGTTAGTAGATGTGGAGGATCCACCTAGGGGAGTTGGAAAACCCTGATTCCAAACCAATGGTGCACATGGGTTCCAGTATCCTGAATGAACGAATGGCGTATGAACCAACTGTTGGTCACCGGATACCATGGGACTGCATCTCCTTACGATGCTCCACTGCCTTGTGGACTAGACCTTTAGGTCAAAGGCTCCGGGTGTGGGCGCCTAAGAAAACCACCTGCTTTAGTCTGGGCACCTGGGCAGTATCACAGCCCTCACACAAATCGAATGAGATTTGTGAGGCGCATATGTATCTGGTGTTTCCTTGTACCAATATTTATGTTTCAATTAATTATTAGTTAATCAGATGCAGCTGATGCTTCCAACTTGTTAGCACGCTTCGACCAACAGGCTTCTCAGTCCTTACGCAAACTTTGCACAATTTCATTACGTAACAACCGTGCTTATGGTCAAACTTGCGGTTACTCGGAGTACACCGATTTGCTTAAACAAGTTGTAAGGAGTCTGTAGAAACCCAGTGCTTACTAGCAGGATGTTTCGCGAAGCCGCGAGCGACCTTACTCACTACTTTCATGACATCATGCAACTGCAGATAATCCTCATCAATATTTTTCGGTGGGTTGATAGCTAGCCTTGAAACTAGATCAGTTTGATATTCAGTTACAACAGAAGCTAAAACCAATTTGCTGACATCGACCCAATAATGGTGATGAATTTGTCGGACAGTGAAACCTGGAATAACACTAGAGCAAACAAGGGAATGATTAAGGTCTAGGCTGTTGCAAGAGTCCCAAAAATATCCCTTTTCAAGTCCCTAGAGGCCAAGAAACTCCGGGAAACCTTTTATCCGATTAGCGTTAAATAGAATCTTCGTAGAATGACCTAGAATTTTATATTTGTAGTGATTAAAGATTTCTAGTAACTCGAAAGTGTTTGTCTTTGGAAGTTAATCTTAGCTGAACTCCGAAAGATGAAGTTTTATGAACAACTGAGTATTCTGTGCTATAGTTCATGAATAGTGTACACTTGTGAATCCTTTTAGTTACAAGGTTAGGATAATTTGACTTCATCATAAAAGGATCAACGTATATGCCTCCGACATTATTTTAAATTCGAACAACGATAGGTATACCCTTTAACAAGGATCAGATAAAATAGCTTGAATACTAATTAGTGTATTTTTTTAATGTTCAGTTAGAAGAGTGGTTACAGTATTTATCACTTGAGTACCTAAAAATGAAACTCAATGATCAACAACGAATCACAAATTCATGTAGGGGTTTGTGGAGATTGTAGAATTTAATAGTTTACATTACGGATTGATTTCAATTAGGTAACCACCACTGAAAACCAGTAAGCACTAGACAGATAAGAAGTCTAGCAAAAGGATAAAACAAGCTGTCCAGTGCTTTCATGTTTTCTATGGTTATCTAACTAGAATCAGTCCCTGATGTGAAATGCAAAATTCGCGATTTCTTCAATATATTCTGTCAACATCATATGACGAAAACCACACAAACTAGTTAAAAACCAAATAGTGATTCATTACAAAATATCAGTGTCTAATGAAAAAAAACTTTCTTCAATAGTTATTTATATATTAGACTAAAGAAAACGAGTGGACAATAAAGAAAATTGCTTTCCCCCGTCTTAATTGATAGATTTACTAGATAACTTGGTTAATGATTGAAGAATAACTATTTGGCAAAGATACAGTATTTTGTATAGATTTTTAATCAATAAAGATTTATGTTTGATTAATTCAGCAACTAAATAAATTATTCAAATAACATGACTCGATGAATCAGAATCTGAAATATAAAGGCTATATATATATATATATATATATATATATATATATATATATATATATAACGCCAAAATACAGCCTTATAAGAAAATTGAAGACTTTTATCTATATAATACCAAAGTCCATTAAATCAGTAACATAGGATCAGGGAGACATAATTTTTCTAACCAAAAAAAGTCTAGGAATAATTACAAAAACAACAACCTTCATCATGTACACTTTGACTACCATAACTGAGTATAATGCATTGTACAACGATCAAGAATAGTATGTCTATTGTACAAAGTGAAGATTAGAAAACGAATACCATTTAAATAAAATAAATTGAATATTTCTTGAAGAAAAACGATTAAATTCTGTCTAGATTGTTTTCGTTCAATAAAAAAAGTTTTCTAAACTCTTTTAAGCATACGTAATAGCAATTATTTGCTATTCTTTAGTTCAACTTTTCATACTATTTGGTTTAAAATGAATGCCACTGTACAATAGTACGACAATGTTTCATTGATTATTTTTTAAACAATCCAACTAATGTAAGGTAGGCAGAAGAAATACACACTTAATGATCCCTAGAATGAATGTTAAATACGTTATTATTATTATATTTATTTAAACACATAAATATTGGTACAAGGAAACACCAGATACATATGCGCCTCACAAATCTCATTCGATTTGTGTGAGGGCTGTGATACTGCCCAGGTGCCCAGACTAAAGCAGGTGGTTTTCTTAGGCGCCCACACCCGGAGCCTTTGACCTAAAGGTCTAGTCCACAAGGCAGTGGAGCATCGTAAGGAGATGCAGTCCCATGGTATCCGGTGACCAACAGTTGGTTCATACGCCATTCGTTCATTCAGGATACTGGAACCCATGTGCACCATTGGTTTGGAATCAGGGTTTTCCAACTCCCCTAGGTGGATCCTCCACATCTACCAACCCGGTTAAAGCGCCGGACATTCGCTTTTCGTCCTCTCACTCTTGTGAACAACACCCCCGCCACGAGGAGGCAGTGAGTAGGACATCCCTGGCAGAGGCTATATATTCGCGTGGCCATATGAGAGCATTTCGAGAGGGAGAGCAGACTCTCCCCACTCTCGGCCGTACCAGGGCATTTGGGGGCATGTTAAGTACAACTGAATGTATTTAATGTACAACAATCACACTAGATGTTTTATTTAGCTAACCAATAAATATTCATAGACAGAAACTGATATGATAACTATTCAAGATGTGAAACTTTTGCAATAGAGACAACTACGATTGTCAGTCAACCATCTGAATAAAATAATTTTTATATGTAAAAATGGTCAACAAAAACCTCTTAGAATATATTTTCTTACTGAAATGTGTTGGGTGACCAGATCGACATTGATTTTATGGATAGATTTTAAGTATTATTTCTTTTTTTTTGTCTGCATACTTTTACCAGGTATTTTTTTCGATATCATCCTATATTACGTAAAAGTTTTGCGGAGATTAATTGAAATGTTTGTCTCAATTGTATCGATCCGATAAGTTGTAATAGTGAAAAAGTGAAATATATCTTAGACCTTACAATTCTCTATTAAAAGTTAGCTTCTGAAATGAAATAGCGGCTTACAGCTTTTGATTTGTACATTCATGACACTTATATTTTGTAGTAGTATACAACCAAATGAACACATTAGGTAAGGAGTACAGAATGTAATCTCATATCAACTATGAATAAATGCGATTGTCTTTCGGATGATAATAACAAATAGAGGAGAAGACTATGATAGGTTGCTAACTTTTAAAAAATTCATATTATAATACCAGTTTTTAAGTCGATTATAAGCTAAGACTATTTACGGAGTGTCATTAATATGAAGATTGGTTAAATACTCTTAGGCTGACTGTAATTCATATACATGAACATATACGATATTTTCCTTACAGAATTTCATATAAATCACTATAAAAGCAATATCAATAAAAGTATAGGGATACTTTTTCCCACAAGCTGTATTTTCTTAACTGCTGAATTAGCTTAATTATCATTGTCAAATATGGATGATTTTTTTAATGTGACTTGTTGATTTTTCGCCGTAAATTTATTGAATCTCCATGATAGGTCTCCCTAGTGAATTATGATCGAATGATGGTAATAGATTTTTTGTTATGATGCTGTTAATGATTAGGTGGTAAGGTGCTAGGAGCTAAGATTAGTAAACTTGAACCAATTGCACTACATATATACTAATTTCCTATATCTTACAGAATTTTAAACAAAACTAATAATCACTCACAATGCATCGATTTTGAAACATAGCTTTGAATACTGGTGAATATATGGATAGAATAGCACGATGACAATGAAGATTTCTACCCTGAACAATCAGAACAGCATCACTGAATAGAAATGGACTGCTAAAGTCTAACACATCATGTTCATCTTTCTGCGGTTCAGTATCATCAACGTCACAACTGAAACAAAATAAAACAAATTACAATCAGTTATGTTTCTACTAATGCATTGAACGCAAATTAAGCTTTAACGTTTTATAAAATATCATCTGAATGTTCTGAAGAAAAAAATTTCTCAAAACTTCGATTACACTTTGGATACGTTTAAAAAAGAAGATAACTTACAGTTTAAACCGAATACATTCATTAGTCAAATATTTTTATAACGAATTAAAAGGCAATAAAATGTGTACTTAGTGTACAAAAGGCAAACTGTGGACACGATTGAGACATTTATAGAGTTTACAGATTAATTTCTATCACAGATTATGAACTAGGAAGCACTGGATAATGGTTTCGCTCAACAGAAGACGATATAAATTCTCACAAGTTATGGGAAAAATTATTTGAAAAATAATACACATCGAAAGATGTTATTAAATTTTTTGTTGTTACATGACAAACTGACCTTATTTAGACAATCATCTAAAACAATACACTTTAACAACTTCGCAGAATGTTATGCCCCGATAAGGACAATGAATGGTAACATGGGATCTATTTATGAACCAAGATTATGCATATATTTTTTATCGTATAATCGTTAAATAACTAAACTATTTATATTCGTGTCCTCCTTATTATAAGCTTTATTTTGAACTACAAACTACTGTTATACAATTTACCATTCCTGAATTATGCCCTGTCTATTATTTAATATCTCCCCTATTCACAGCCACATTTGGCTGAATCTTGTACACATGTTATTTTGTTTTATTGGTACGGTGCGGTCTGTCTGTTTGGTATATAAACTCAGTATGTTTGAAATATAATGATTCATACCGCAGAGGCTGTTCTGCACTTGATTGACTGGGTTAGGCAGAAGCAGAACCGATAAGTACTCAGACTGCTCGTACGGTTTTCGTGTGTCACTGTTCCAATCGATAATTCGCTGCTCTCTGACTGGCGGTCTTATCACGTCATACGTTAACAAGGCCTCTACTCGGTCACAAGTTATAACATAAAACAGTGAAAAAAGATAACTCCACGGACTGAAACAGTACGCTTTCTTGTGAAATCTTTTAGAAAACTACTTTCTGAGTTCTGTTGTTTTATACTGCCACCCATCAACATGTTAATATTGTGTTTGCTAAACAATATTCCGGGATTATGGTGAACCAGTAAAAGGAGCCTTAAATATTCTCCGCTATTTTTTACGAACAATTTATTGCAAAATTCATTAAGAAATCGGTTCGCAAGTCACCTAGTGTAATTTGGAAACAACTATTGGTCTAAATAAAATAATACATGCAAGGCGTGTTGAGCTTGCAGCTCAACAGTTGAAAGTCACATGGTTCAGCCGCTAAGCCGAACGCATTTCATCCTCAGGAACATGATATATAGAGTAGTTATCAATATAACATTCCCACTTTATCAAACGTAAAGCGTGCAACACAAGTTTTACAAATTCAACACACTTTCCAAAGAGTAAATATTTATTAAATGCTCATATTTTCTTGCATATGAACAGCTCAACAGTATCTTTAGTTGTATGTAGTTTGCATCCATTAATATTGAAGTCTAAATAATCTCATAGAAAGACATAGATTTCTTATTTTATCAGATGACAAGTATATCAATGATCAAACTCAATCAAACAAATTTTAACTAATTTACTCTAATTTTACCAATATAAATTAAAACACATAGCATGTTCAGAAATTAGATACGTTATTGATCCAGTGTACAACACATATTACCTATGCTAAGTTAATGACAGTTTTGATGCTTCATTAAACTATAATATTAGTAATCTAATGGATCGAAAAAAAGCCATTTGATCATTGTTTCTGTTAGAAGCATCGACCGTTCTTCACATTAGCAAGATTTTAATGAATCAATACACAACCAATTATGCTTTAACTTAGTGACAACTATGATATTCAAAACAAATGTAAAAATGAGGCCAAATTGGATAAAAAATAGAGATGCTTTATAGAGATTAATGTTTTTAAACATTGGATGGTTATTTAGTGTATAAAATTATAACTCTAATTAATAGATAAACTAACAGTTCAAGTTGAGTATTTGAGTAAATGAGCATATAAAAGACGCTTACAATATAAATGAATGATTACTTTAAGTTGTATACCGTTCTCATTCACAGCCAGTAACTTTTCTAGCAAAGTAAATAACTAGGTTTGAAGTTATTGGCTGGGTTTATTAATTTGCCTGTAATAGGCGCCAAGATGATCCGACTAAAGCTAAAGACCTTGAAGATAAAAATATTCGTTCTGCTAAGGTTTTACAAATTTCTGATGGATAAAGATGTTACTGACATACTTGCAATAAAATAAACTTACACTAGCAACAAGTGAGACGCAACGAAACTCACTCCTTATCGAATACGCTTATGCACTGACCAAGAAGGTCGGACATCAATTATTGCAGTTATAAAGCATTTTGTTTACAATACAAAAAAGTATACATACCTAGTTTGAATGGTAAATTATATTAAAGTTTGCTAGTTTCTGAAACTGGGCCGGATTATTTTAAAAACCTATGTTTTTAATAACTGGTTCCTCTGTTTGCACTCCAATACCTAGTACATAATTTACAGTTTGACGTGATACATTACTTTTGTGCCTAATTCATCTAGTAGTAGATAAACACGTTATTGAGAAAATGATTGTCTTTCCATACTTACAGAGAAATTATCGAATTCAATATAAATGGGGCTTTATTAATCATAAAATGTAACTTTGGCCTTTTTTCGACCTTATAAAACCTGTTGTCTGAAAATATGGATTATTTTCACAGTCAATGTGCTTCTCATTAACAGACACTACACTGTAAAAAAAAGACGGTAGCCAATTGTTTAGCAGGCTTTAATATAACTAAATCAAGTTGTGCCAAAACTAAACGTTGATATCCAGCCTCTAAGTGTCAGTTATCATCAAACTTCATCTATGAAGGGTATTTGATCATGCCATTAAGTCAATGAACAGATAACAGGGTCGAACGATTGTCATGAAAATTAGGTATATCGAAGTCATAACGGGAGGGTTAACTGGATATATTACATGTTGATGTCCACCTGTTGCTCGAAAACGATGAAATCTAAGAATTTAACTGTAGCATACGAATCAATTCAAGTTACTACACTTCAGACCAACGTAATGATCAAATTTAATGGAAAGCTAGACATTGAGAATATAATTAAAAAGGAACAAACAAGGTCAAAGAATGAATAGTATGGAGTGACACTATACTTAAGACTTGTTACAAAACGAAAACATCGCCAACTATAGATCATAGTTATCTCATGAATCGCAACCTTGGTCTACACTTGTCGACACAGCTTAAATATCAGAGATTATAGTGGGCGAAAACAAAGCATACTACTCAATTTAGATCCCATACTTTAGGCAGTATTACTCAAGAGTCCAGTGAACAAATGTTTTGTTGTCCAGTCATACTCACTTAACTAATACGGAGGGAATCTTAAATTCATTTAAAAATGGCAAGATTATTATATCTACATGTGTTTCTCTTCCCTTAAATGCAAAATGCTGCTTTAGGACGTCGATTTTATGGCCTAGAGTTTTTAACGATATTAGGAATTGCTTTATCAAATATTATATGTTTACAACTATATGGAACCCCTGACATGTGAATAATAGGGATTGAAGTGGTTGGGTGCGTTAACCACTTATATTGGAAGTCTCATCAGCCCTGATGGATTGGTGTCTCAACAAATCTTGGCGAGGATCAAGAAAGCTCATTCGAATTTGTCAACTGTCACTTTTTGCGCAGGTGAGACGTCCGTCTGTCATTGAAAGAGCCAATATATTATTTAGCAGTTTGCTATTTTATCTTATGGCTGTGAAACATAATCTATGAGGTAGTGTGTTTGTGTAGGCTACGAGTTTTAGATTACATGTGTCTTCGAAGTATTGTTCAAATCACTGGACGAAATGAACGATGCTGGTGTTAGACGTAGGACACCATGTTAAAGCGTAAAAATGGTTGATCGGGCTGCAAAATTTTATCGGCCTACAAATGCCTTGGCACGGCCGAGAGTAGGGAGAGTCTGCTCTCCCTCTCGAAATGCTCTCATATGGCCACGCGAATATATAGCCTCTGCCAGGGATGTCCTACTCACTGCCTCCTCGTGGCGGGGGTGTTGTTCACAAAAGTGAGAGGACGAAAAGCGAATGTCCGGCGCTTTAACCGGGTTGGTAGATGTGGAGGATCCACCTAGGGGAGTTGGAAAACCCTGATTCCAAACCAATGGTGCACATGGGTTCCAGTATCCTGAATGAACGAATGGCGTATGAACCAACTGTTGGTCACCGGATACCGTGGGACTGCTTCTCCTTACGATGCTCCACTGCCTTGTGGACTAGACCTTTAGGTCAAAGGCTCCGGGTGTGGGCGCCTAAGAAAACCACCTGCTTTAGTCTGGGCACCTGGGCAGTATCACAGCCCTCACACAAATCGAATGAGATTTGTGAGGCGCATATGTATCTGGTGTTTCCTTGTACCAATATTTATGTTTAAATAAATAAACTTTCATCGACCAGGGGAACTGAAATACATGAATCAGAAGGATTTACTTTTTATGTTCTTAGGATTTAGTTTTTCTTTATACGTACCTTTTCATTCCCTTCACCGGAACCATCTCATTAGATTTGTGTCTAGTGAGATGGTTCCATATATTTTCCATACTTTAAATAATACGTTAATTGCGACGCTGTAATGTTAATTACCGTACAAATTTCTAGATAATTCAGAAGCAACATGGCCTATCTGTTATACAACACTAAGCAATAGAGATAGCTTAGAAAAGTTAATTAGGACTGTCAGACAAACAGTATCTTCACGGATTAATGTTGCAGTGGAAGCACTTCCAAAAGTACACATAAGTCGGAAATAACTATAACACGAAGTTCGAAGCCAGATTAAAGTGACGAGACCTAGATTTTCAGCTATTGTGGCTACTAACACAATGACAAAAGAAGTGCTCCTCAAATCAACATAATATAAGAAACTAGTAAAGAACAAACACTGACTATTGAGTGCTCCAATAAGTCCACGGACCTACAATAATTTGGTCAAATGATTGAATCGTCTGATTTCGTTTATTGTTGGATGGGTACCTTACCGAACTGCACATAACTTCTTACAAATTGAAATCTAAATGTTTAACAACTACAAATTTCCATTTGAGATAATCGTTTTATTGCTCTTGAAGAACAATCCCTGGTTCCATCACAGAGAATTTTCTGTCGCGTTAATCAAACCAAAACTACTGAGCATATACTACAAGAGCTATATACTGGGAGAAACTTATGTAGGACTTAACTAGAAGTCACCATAACCAAATTAAGATATCCCGCTGTTAACTCTCAGACAAACATTGATTTAGTGTGTCAACAATAATCCTCGCCAACAATTTGAATTGATAGGGTCAGTATCAAAATTGAACATTCCCATGAAAACATTTGACGGAACAGAGTTAATGAAATCGCCACAACCAGACAAACATTTTGAGCATACAAGTCAGAATATTGAAACAACTATAGTTATATATAACTATATATATATATATAACTATAATTATATATATAACTATAATTATATATAATTATAATTAAAGCGAATCTAAACAAGACATAACTTAAAAGTATGAGATGTCAGACCAAGTAAGTAGATATAACAACAAATCATCAACTAGAGAGTTTACAAGTACTTCTTTTCAGTCTTAGAAGAAAATTGAAATCAATAAGCAACAGAAATGAACGATTTCATAGTTTGTGCATTTCCAGATCAGAATCATGTGAAACTACAACTTACTCGGCTTGTATGGCGATTTCGCTCACATTTGGAGCCGTGCAACTTAATCTTTCGATTTGTGCTGACCGAAAGACCGACATTGTGTGTAGCGAGGAAATTTTTATTACTGGCGGCTAACAGAAACTCGTTACGACACTACGGGCCAATAAAAAACTGCACTTGAGATCATTACAAAATTTTATGCATACTTTTTATCTAAATTATTATAATAAATAATTAACAATAGTCTTTACAATTGATTTTTTTATTTGTTTAAATATATCATTTATGTTACTTGAGTAACTAAGACAATTACGAATATCACCTGTTTATTATTGTAGGTATCATTTTTAAATGTCGACCAAATTTGATAAATTCTGAATCTCTTGAAATGGAGGTGGTTCCTCGATATGAATATGAGGTTATTATTCCACCGGAAGGTGGTTGCGTTTCTCTTGAGTCAAACGTATACAATCTGAATAATATTCATAAACGAAATACTGACGATCAGTACGGTGTATTTTTTATTGATACAACTACAAACGATACAGTTAATTCACATGAGCTTCTAAGAGGTGAAAGTATCCATAATACAACAGACGCAATGAGAATAACCGACCACACGTCTTTACGACAACACGCAAATATTTGTAGCATCGCTTCTATCACACTTCCTGTTCATTTGCAGTACCTAGAGCCTACTCAGCAATGCAGAGCAAGCTTTCATCATCATTGTCTTCCGCTTCAACTAAAGTATTTGCATTCGCTAAGGAACTTTACAATACTAAGCCAGATTGGCGTTGGACAATTTAGTAGTGTCTATCGTGCTGAGTGCAACCAACCTTTTGGTCTTAATGTAGCCCTTAAAGTTATCAAGGTATGTACACTGCCCTGAGCATTGATATTGTATAGTGTTACTTTACTATTCTTCTCAACGATATGAGCTTTTGGTTGGTCAAAATCTTCGTAACACATAATTTTCTGTGTTACCATTTTCGTGCATCGTCTAGGTGTGGTAACATTCGTTGAATGGTATGGTATATCTTTTACTAGGCTTTCAGTTAGCACTTCAGCTTTGAGTTCATTAAAACATTACCCATTTCTTTTTCTGTTATTATCTTATAAACAGGATTTTCTTACACTATCATTTATCTTTGATTATCATACTTTTTAAAATATTTTGAACTACAGGTGAAGTTTCTGCAAAACAAAGTTAGCTAAATGCATAAAAGCACTATATCTCGAATACGTAGTGCACCAACTCAGAGAAATAGTGGGGTAAATATTGATGAATTATCTGCATACGCTACTTTGTCCAACTACGAAGTGCAAGGGTCTATTGGACAAGGTCAGTTTTCAACCGTGTGGCAAGCCTTTCACCTTCCGTCCTGTCAGACAGTTGCTATGAAAAAAATTAAGGTTAATCTAGTTTTCTGTGACTGTCGTTCACATTTGTTGTCCACCACACAGATGTTGTGTATGTAGATTTAGATTTGATTATGTGCATGCGAACCAAACAATGTATCAATTTTTGTCTAAAGTGACATCAGTTAAGAAGTTATAATTCGGTTTATTTCTAACCCTAGTTATCATAGGTTTTGCACCTTTGACTGACCTTGTCCTCTGTTAAGCCCATAAATGTTTGAGCGATTTATATGATCTGTAACATAAAGCACAACTTTAAGGCAAAGAAACATCAGTGAGAGCAAAAACGTTTATCGACACCTATATGTAAAACAAAACAAGCGTTTATCCAGCTTTTCAGTACATATACTTGCTTTCTGGTAATTTTTTTGTTTATGACACATACTTACTTGTATTAATAGGATGGACAAACTTTTGTGAGGATTTTCTAGTTTTAAATTAGGTAAACAAATATATTTCGTCCATGTATGCTTATAGAGAAACTCACTACGCTTTTATTTGGGCTGGTTTGCTAATCCTTTTCCGACCATTAGTTGTAAACATTTGGCCAGTGGTATTGTGCTCATAACTCAAAACGTTCAGTCGGTTTTAATTCTTACATTAAACTATCAAATGTTACATGTTAAATTCTCTCTATTGATGAGTTTATAAAACTGACGATATAAAAAAATATGATTATGTTGTTGCGTCACCTCTTCAAATATCAGGACATCTAATAGCCGCTGTAATGTGAATGAATCTAGTGTCACTTTCTGGGCCGAAATTTGAATTTTATGTACTCTAGTATTTTGCTAGAATAAGTAGCAGAGTTGTATGTTTCACATAAAACGGAGCTCGTGGACCGGTTCTAAAAGTACCACAGTAGATGCAAATGGACCAGAGATTGAAGACAAGAAAAATCCACAAACACACTTGAGTATATTGTATTAGGGTAATGAATGAAGCAATAGTTATGAAAAAATTGGTTGTTTCATACACCACGTTGATTTTAATAAATAACAGATGGCATAGAGTTTTTAAAGAATAGTGGATTGTGGCTAAAACTAAGAAGAAGAAATAGTAACCTCCTAAATTGGGTTGGGCCGGTTTGCTGGAATTATCAAGCTTTTACTCAGTTACATCATTCAAACACAATTTTTACACCAGACGTATTAGATATCCTTGATGCTCAACCTCCATTAGGTTATTTACTTATGTGCGCATAAATAAATGGCTGTAGGCTTTTTCATGGAGATGTTCAGGATACTAAGGATTACCGAGTAAACGACGTGCATAGGAAAATTAAAATTGGATCTAGTGATTAAGTTGAGTATTTTCTACTTTTTCACAAATTATGGAGATGTCACTATTATATATGCCTCTGTTCCTTGACTGTTAACTGTGGAAGATGGTATACATTCATGACATTTATCTGATCGCTGGTGAAAATTCTTTCTGTTATGTTACTGTGGCTGAAGACTAAGGTCAATACATTCAAGTGTCAGTTTCAGTGTTACAAAAAAAAACAAATGAAAACACAAATTCAAAATTTTGCATATTTAACGTACCTAAAGTAAATACATTTATGCTTTATTGTGGTTCTAAGATAAGAATGTTTAAAGGATCAAAACCCTACCAAACAATTTGAATATCTACATAAATATATCTATCAGAACAAAGACAAATGGACTGCCGATTGTTGCATCGCAAGCTTGACGGCATATGTTGTTGTCAATTCGAAATTTAACCTCTTACATGCACATAATGAGTGTGCATTTGAGTTCTGACACTAATAAAGATAGGAGTTGAAGTTACTGGCAAATTGTGTCGGTGGTTTCAGAAAGTGGTATTTCGGTAAGCAATAATATTACATTAAGAAAAACCACCGACTTATCAGCAATATTTATATAATTAACACAGTCAATAAATTAAAAAGTCTTTAAGTGTATATTTAATTAACTGTTTAATCCCGAATTGGGTTACTCTTAATTAAAGCCAATTCGCACTCATTTACTTCATCATGTAGTCAATTGATATTTTTAGCTGTGTAGTTTGTTGTTACTGTAGCTGATGGTGCAGGATCTTCTCTCACATATTATATTTATTTACGACGCTCTTTGTACCTCTTTAATCTCATATTTGTCTGGATCGCCACTTCATAATGACTATAAATGTCCACATTTGACTAATTTCCTTGTTATAAGTATGTCAATTTTATGATAATTTTGTTATAAAAGTATGATAGGTTGAAAGCAGCCAATGAGAATCTAACGAAATAAAGTGGATTTATGCTATTCTGACCAATTCTTTATTCTTGACCTTTTCAAAATGATAAAGGGATAAAAGGTATGATTTTTGTTTTTCCCGGAATTCAAATACCGGTTTTATTCTAGTACTTTCAGAGATTTTCATAAGTTAAAGTACTCTCGGTATTCATTCTGTTCCTGGTTTTTTTGGTAAAACGAACACGTATAAATGTAAGCCAAGGACTTGGGTTAATTAACTTATTTTGTGTAACTACCGTATGCTTTAGTGGATTAAACGGAGATAAACCTTGATTGCATGTCCAACTGCGTTTTGTCAATTCTAGACTAATAATTTAGTTTGCTTTTATCAGTATAAAATTCTTATGTAGAAAAAGGTAGTGTAACTTGTGTTTAGATTATGAAAATTTTTGTTCCGGAAACATGATGTTGCCTCAATACTTAATGGCTGCACCATGGATTACTTAACGTAGGCTATTCGTCTGGTGTTTGAAATACTCATCCAAAAGTGGCTAGGAAGCTTCTAATTTAATGCTTATGTGACTGAATAAATAAAGTGACTTGCCTATTACACAAATTTGTGTATTGTAGACTTCAAATCTGAAGACAATATTTATATAAACAATATTTATATAAATATTTACAGAACCAAACTTAACAGAACACCGTAATGTCATATTACAGTTTTAAAACGAAACTTTTGCTTGCAGATATCTCCTTTAATCTTAAAAAAGTTAAAGCTCTGTTTATATTGAACTTAATACAAAATTTTGCTTTGTTTGTTCCTAGTTTGATGAGAGTCGAGAGCGGTTGTTATAATTACGATCTTACTAAAAAACTTCGTTTGTAACAATATTTCTGATAAAGCCATCTGTTATTTCTTCAGGCATTATTATTATTATTACATTTATTGAGGTCTTTTTATGTTTGTATGCTTATCATGAATCTGGAATTCTTTATACTTAATAATTTTCATTACTTATAATGCTCTACTTGTGTCAATGATATTTTGTAAATATGGATACTTACATAGTCACTAAGTATATTTTTATCAATGAATTTTTTGATTTGATTGTTTGTCTGATATTCTTTCCACAGATATTTGAAATGGTTGATGCAAAAGCACGTCAAGATTGCATAAAAGAGATAGATCTATTGAAAGTGAGTTACAGTTGTCTTTTATACGCTTTATTGATCGAAAAAGTAAAATATTGTTTTATTTTATAAAAACATTACTTTTTCACCCCATCGCATATGCTAAGGTTATTCTGTGGTTTTCGGTAATCTAAACAGGTAACCAGGTAATTAGTACAACAGTGATTTTCGGATAGTATAATTCTTAATGTTTCTAGAAAACATTGTATATTTCACATAATTCAATGATTTAAGCGTACATATCCTCATCAATCAAATTAACTGATAGTTTGTCAAAGGTAGAATGCAAGCAAATAGGACGACAGTGATTTAAATGTAAAATTTAGATAAATATCGCTTTGATTTTGGTTAGTGAATGTTCATCCATGAAATCGGTGTATCAGAGAAACACAATAAAACTATTATCTGGTTTCTATTCAGCATTACACTACTTTCTGTAAATTTCAAACTTGAGTGACCCCGTAGTACAAATATGTAACTTAATACGATCCTTTCACCTTACAGAAAACTGACTTTAGTTTTCTGAAAATTAAACATTTTTACCTAATGCAAAAGTTTTATTTTTGAAAATAGTGGATATTATGACTTTATACTACTTATGTTTGATAGTAGTAATATCACGGGAAATGAAAATATCACTAATGAAAAGAATTTTTCGCATTACTTGTCCAGAAAAACTGATTTCAAATACATAATCATTATAACTACCTCATTAATATTCTACCTATTTGCAAGGAATAATAACTGCATTGATCATTTGTAATCTTTCAACTAGTTATATGTGTTAGTAGTGTTGTATTTTCGTTCTCATAGTGATTAGGTTAACAAATGTTTAGATTTGTTTTGTTTATTCAATCCAAAATAACACAATTAAAATTAATAATAGGCAAAACACTAAACAGATTTATAAATAAATCTTATTACCTATTCAAAACATTTTTTATGTTTATTTTAAAAATATGAGGGACATAGAATATGTTTACTGATGTCACTCAAATTTAACTGATAAACTGTGATTCATTTCAATAATAATAATAATAATAATAATAATAGAGTGACCATCAACTCTGAGATGCAGGTACATCCAGCTGACGAATCCCAAATAGGACGAAATGCGCTTCCTAGATTCCACTGCTAGCTACTATCCATCTTTGCTTACCATGCTTGTGAATTTAGGCTATATCGAGGCAATACGCACAGTATGCACATATGCTAATTAGAGACTGACCAGTTGCAGTCCTAAAACATCAATGGGAAGATTCAAACAAAACAATACTAAGTGAATAATTTGATTTGAAAATAGCTAAATTGAACTAAACAAGATTGGAGTATATGAAGCTTATCAATTGTATATTTCAGTCATGGACTCTTCTTAGAGTGCATATCTACATATGAAGCCTTAATATATTTTTTTTTTAATTATTCGAAGAAAATGATATGACTTAAATGGTTGTATAGATATTTGATAATTCCTTTCTTTATGTTTCACCATAAGTGACCGGAAGTATTAAGAATAAAACTAACTTGTTTATTGGGTAAGTTATTTTTTTAATAGAAATAAATGAAAGTAGTATTCATTAATCACTTCTAGTTACTACAATTCACCCACTCTTTTTTTATTTAATATATATACTTTATTATTTAATGGATTATTTTACTAGAGATTAGATCATCCAAATGTCATACGTTATTTGGCATCTTTTGTGGAAAACAATGAATTAATTATTGTTTTGGAACTTGCAGATGCGGGTGACCTATCTCACATGATTAAGGTAATTAAAATTTTAATCATAAATTAATACTAATAATATTTAGCTTCATTATTGACAAGTGATTGAATTCATGAATAGACTTAAACAATTTTTCATTAGAATAATAGTAAAAATATTCTTGGAATAACAGCGAGTACTATGTTTTGATGGTTATCTATTCACTAAGAGTCAAATGTTATTTCGAATACTAAAAATTAAACAATTATTCCGATTGTTTTGGAGCCCTTCATTAATAGGTATTAGATCACCATAATTAACTTTTTCATTAATTCGAAACTTCAAATTTCGGTTTATCTTCTTTTCAAGGGAACTAGATCAAAAGTAACTGAGCTGATGGAATATACTGTTATTTAGTAGATATGTTGAGCATACTTGATTATATTAAAATATTTTCAAGTCTTTTGATGCAGAGTGATCAATACATTATCAAGGTTTTATTAAAATCTCGTTAAAATGTTGTTATAACAACATATACCCTACTGGCCAAGTTTAAATACATCACTTCAGTGGGGTTTCATGCTGCTGACTAAAATATATCATTTATGATGTACACTGTTTTTAACACTATTTACAATATTTTAAATCGCTGTACTTCTTTTGATAAAACAATTTAAGCTACTATTTCCTGTTAAGTAAGTCATTCGAAGTTGATAATACAAATTGGTGTTCAAACCATTGTTAGTTAACGTTAAGTATAAACCAATAGCTGGGTTATAGTCTATGTGGTGCTGTAGTCCAAATTATAAGAATAAGATACTTATGAAACAAAAAGATCGAATCATTATATTAATTACCATACAACAAACAATTCAGACAAATTATCTATTATAAATAAATAATATATTTGTAATATCCCAATGAGTAGAAAAATTAGATTTTCTGACGTTTCGTGACTCAGTGTAAGCCACTTCTTCAGAGAATAAATAATCTCCCCACCTCAATTTATTCAAAATTATCAAATCAAGACTTGGTAATGATACCTACAAATTATCTATTAGTTCATATGTGTAATCTTGGCTTTGACAGACAAGTATTGATCTACTAAACTTAAAACATTGAATGATGTGGGTATGCATAACCAATAATCCATGATTTTTATTATGATGATAACTATTCTCTACTTAAAGTTTTAGTTTAGCAGAAGTTTCTTTGAAGTTATACTACTCACTTATCAGTAATCGTCAATGCTTGTCGTTTAAATAGATGTCATTTTAAATGAGTGTAACAATATTTATGAACTAGTTGTCAGATATTCTTTCTTGTCATTCTTTCAATGAACTATTTCTCCTTATTTTTAAGCATTTTAGAAAGAAAAAGAGATTAATCCCTGAAAAAACTATATGGAAGTATTTCGTTCAAATTAGTAGTGGACTGGATCATATGCATTCCAAACGTATCATGCACCGAGGTAATATATATATATATGTATATTAGTTCGGCCGATTTTTTGTGTTAGTGGCTGTGGGTGACTCCAGAACTTGACAAACTCTAATTAAATAAGGGCTGATAAGTTGGTTGGATGCAACCTTTTAAGTTCATCGATTTAGATGTTTCTTAATTTTAGTGGTTAGTTTTAGTCTCTTAAAGTGTTGAGAAACACTATAGATTACACTCTATTATATACAGTTAAACATTCGTTTATCCATCAATCTGCTCTTCTATAATTTAATCACTTTAATTTTACATATATCAATAATGTATTCGACTGCTCTACCTTCAAAGTGATTTCAATTGAGTAAGAAAGGATTTTGGGTATGGTTATCATCGTCTTGGCGCCAACTTATCTAATTATATTCACTCTAAACATAGAGATTAGCGTTACTGAGTTCAAGATGTCTTTTGTTTTCATTCCTTTGTATTGTTAGTAACTTTTTGTGATTCAAAAATAAAACAAAGATTCGAACAATCTGGTAATATGAAATATAAGAAACCGTTTAAAATATCGAATCCATTTTGTTGTTAGCTTGAATAACGAATAAGCGTCACAACATTAATTCTGAAAATTTTTAGTTTGAAACAAAAGGGTTGGTTATGAAGATAATTATAGACTTCAGTATGGGGATTTTTGGAGATTGTAGTATTTTAACAGATGAATCCATGATCTTGCTCAACCCTTTATTCATTATCTTAGGTGGACAACTTTTTCACTCCCGACATGGATTGGACTCCACTGGTCATGACTTCTCACTAGGACTCCGGGAAATCCATGTTGAAGCTAGTCACTAGTGAGCACATGATTATTATCAGTATGGGGATGTGTGGAGATTGTAGCATTTTCAAAGTTGAATACACGAGTCGATCTAAGCTACACTTGTTTAACTTATCTAGAACGATTAGTTAAAAACTATTTTTGTATCTAGTCTACTTAAAAAAAAAGTCAAAAAGATGATAAAGGTAGCTAGCAAATATAGTTTACCAGTTGTCAGACGTTCCAGTCAACATGCGAAGGTAACAATGTATAATAATTTGGTTAGTGAATAGACATATAATTTTCTTTTACCTTACTCGCTGTATACTCCTAACGTTTTATCAAAACATTTATTATGGTCATAATTAAAAAAGACTACAATAAATAATGTCCCCTAGTTGTTAATAATTCTTCTATATCCTTAAACTATACAGTGCTGGAATTGGAACCTATTTTATCCTTTGTTTTCATAATTAAAATATTCTTCAGTCATAGTTCTTATTTATTTATTTTTCTTTTATTATTTGCATAACAATGTTTATATTATTCCTTCAATTTCATCACATAATTTTCTTTTGTATTTATTTTCTTTATACAATATGCGATATAATTAAAGTGTAAGAAATAATACCGCATCTAATCAACTAAATTAGGTCATTCTGTATAATAAGGACGTTTTCATGTTACCCTGGTAACTACACATCATCGGTATTGATAATTAATAATAATAATTATTATTATTATTGTAGGAATAACATCATGCTAATTTTAATAATGAATTAACATAACCCAACCTTCCCAAAGACAGCAAATAAGCCACACACAAAAAAACAAAAAAAGGAAACATACGATAATAAATGAAATTTGCTAATTTATAATCCCATTTTATCTTGAAAAACTAGTTCAATGGTAATTGTTTTCATTTCTATTTGATCCACATAGTATTTCCATCAGGCAAAAATTGGGAAAAGAAAAACAATATAACACAAAATAGATATTTCTGAAAAAAATTAAAAACGATGACAGGAATCCCCATTAGAACATTCATACTTGAATTTAATTAGGATAATAGAAATAATTTTTTTTTAGGAAGATTCAATGCATATTGCGCTGAAATGATTCATGAAATCAGGATGACAAAAGCTTTAGAAACTTTGTTGAATCCATGTTGATAGATTTCGATGTCTTCAGTATATTTGTATAATGACTCAGTTTATTTATTCAACGACGCTTAATTACACTGAATATAACTTCCTATTTATGTTTGTTAGATATCAAGCCTGCCAATGTATTTATCAATGTTAAAGGTCAGGTGAAACTAGGAGATCTTGGATTAGGGAGATATTTTAGTTCAAAGACTATGGCAGCTCACTCCTTAGGTAAGCCATTCTTATCCCTTTTTTCCTTGTTTTGAATTTCAACAAATCTTTGGCTTTGCACACGAAGCATAGAACATCTGGTGGTTGAAATATAGAATATAGTTTGGACTGTTTTCGGGATATTATTAAATATTACAGTAGTACAAATCGAATCGAGGAGAAGAGAGGCAAGATAAAGGCTAAAAGAGACAAATCGAAGAAAGGCAAAACAAAGTGAATAATTAACAAGGTCAAAATGTAATTCAAGAAGAATGAATAAATTAGCCTGTCTAGAAACTAGAGCAACCCATGTGGGTTCGACATAAGGCAAGTCACTACAAATATGAGGTTGAAGGAACACAGACATTGTTTGAAAAATGTTCCCAAATCTTCGATTGATCTGATGAAACTTGAGAATAGGTCGACGATAACGTTACATGAGTTAAAAACAGGACACAAGACCAATTTCGAAGGGATCAAAATACTTCAGAAAGGGTTTAACACACGTAAAGGAAGACTGACGGAAGAAGCATTTTAGATATGGGCTAATAAAAATAGCTTGAACAGAAAAGATAGTATTTAACTAGCTACCACTTGGCAAATGTTTATTGACAAGCATTTGGACCCTTTCATTATCCACTCTATTTATTTCACACACGTCGTTATTCTGACAGAAATTAATCTGGGATATTTTATCAGTACAATTATCTATTTGATGTTTCTCATTTCACATGCACATCGACTGTTTAGAAATAATTTCAACTTTCAACTTGTACTTTTACTTCATATAAAAACAAATTGACACTTAATATCAACTATTAATAACTCAATGCCAGACACATACGAATACACACTATCATTCATTCATTTATGTGAACTGCTCACCTGATTCTCATATAACTGACTCATGTTATCCTACTTACTAAAGCCAGCATCTGAATATGATTGGAAAAGTACAGTGAAAATTTGATTTGATTTTTGAACATTATATATTTCTTTGATAATTTTGATCTTTATTATTACCCTGAAGAGGTATAGACAAGATTGATGGACGAAACATTGGAAATATTCGAATTTCGATCTCTGAGATTATTTCTATTGTGACGAGCGGTATCTGAAGTCTGATACTAATACACGATGTAGCAAGCGCTTACAGCTCCCCCCTCAACTGCCTACTTAAACGAGAACATAAAAGTGTATTGAGCTACCGAATGAAATGCATAAATACCCATCCAAATATCTACCACTCCATCCTTAGGAAATTGACCCAGTGAAATTCACTTAACCTTAAGTTAACTTCTGGTTGCCATCGATTGACCTTTTGCTACTTCTAATTGGCTCGCCATATCAATTTCAAATACAATTTTCACATATAATGTCTTCTCTATAATTGGCGTCCAATTTCTGTCAAACTATTCGTTCTAATATTGACTAATATTCGTATAAGTGATTGTATTTTTCTTTCGCAATTAATTACATTTGAGATTATGTTAATAATTTAATATTATGGAAGCTAGTTTATATTCAAGATATCGATAGTTAGTGTAGATTTCATGTCATAATGAGTAAGAAGATATCATGTTCAATAATTTTATCCCCAGTCTTTTAATACAAAAGAAACTTAGTATAAAAGGTAAACATTTGGCTGAATAGTATAATTATCAAAAGGGGCTTTTGTGGAGATTTAGTATTTTCATAGTTAAAAGCGTGAGTTAAGTGCTCTGGCGCGAGACTGGTAGGTCCTTGGTTCGAATCTCGAGAGGCAAGGTCATGGATACACACTGCTGAGGGGTCCCACAATAGGATGAAACGGCCGCCCAGTGCTTCCAGGTTTTTCCTGTTGGTCTAGCTTCAATTGACTCATGCTTTCAACTATGAAAATTAATAGTATTAATGAATGGTAGCCCGTTATATACAAAGCTCTCATTTCACAGTTTTCTAAAATAACAGAATAGTTTTAACAGCCAGAATTCATTATTTTCATATTAATTTCTTCAGAACACATCGTTTAATACATTACTACTTAACACTGTAGTGGTCTATTATGATAATATTTCATTATTTCGTTATTAATTAGGCTTTGTAAATGTATCAGTCATTCTATGAATCCTAAGTAATTGATATTCAACTTAAAATTTATATTTTTGTTTACTAGAAGTCAATATCAGACAAAGTATATACATCATAGGATTTTTAGTTCTCTGTATATGATTATGTTTTTCCCTGGAGGTTGGAGGCAGGTTTAGAAAACGTTTATTCTTATAAAAAATATAATGAAATTCTTTATTTTTCAATAGTTTTTCCCTACCTCTTTCATTACTACCTTCTAATATTCATTATAAAGGATTCAGATAATTAGATTGAGTCAATGAAGCATACAACTTTGAATATTATATTACAAATGATAAATTATTTAGTAGTCTTCTATCCTTCTCTGAATTTGTGTCTTTTACAATTTTTTAATTATAACTGTTAGCTTCAAAGTTTAAAGTGACTTTATGAAATGAAAATTTCAACTCTACGAACTGTTCTTTGACTGTCATGAGATTAAAAATCAAATGACTATACTACAGTCAAGAGATTTATACTCTTAAACTCATTAAAGCTACTAGTGTGATGTGTGTACTGATGTCGACAGATATAAGTGGTATGTACTATCAATCAAAAGTGAAATACCTGGCAGCAGAAGGTTAAAAAGTTCAAAGAATAGGGAACAAGTACAGTGAATTATTGTCATGGAAGTGAAGGAACAGTGAAGTCTGAGACGATTGACTGACATTTGCAAAAAAAAAGTCAAGTTAGGACAATTGATTGACATTTTGCAAATCAAATATTTACTGTACGGTTCTCAGATTTTACTAAGATGTTCTATAATTTTATGTTCAAACACATTCGATTGTCCCCACTTGTGTTCTCGTTTACCACGTTTGATATTGCAGCCGACCAGGAGGGAGAAGGGTGTTGTTCTGCCGACGCCGTTGAGGGATTGGAGCTGAGTTGCTAGTTGGGGCAGTCTGGTGTGGAGAGGCGACGTCGAATGGAGTGTTCTGGCGAGGCGGCGTTGGCTGTAGTGGGTGCCATTGACGGAGAGGAGCGGTGTAACGTGCTACTTCTGGAAGGACATCGGATGTAGATGGTTCAGCAGATCTCTGGAGCGCATGCGTTGAACGTGCCGGAAGGACATTGGATTTCGGTGACCCGGCGGGTCGGCTACACTAGTATATTGCTCACTTCTCTAAGAAATAAAAAAATCAGTTAAATTAGATTTCGTAACATAGATTGATTGATTAGGTCTTCATTAGGAATTACTTACAATCGTCTAAAATAGAATGAGCAAAATGAAAAATAATTGCTTGCATAAATTTTGTCAATAATATTTCTTTTTAGTTGATGTTCATATGATAAATTATGAGTAATTAAATATGGACAAGTAAATCATAAACACAGAATACTTCATATTCAAAACAGCAACACTAAATGAATTAGTAACCGCTCTATCTCAAAACTAACTATTCATAATACAGATGAGAATAAATTAGTTTCGCTCATTATGAACAAGTACATGAAATTACATTTGTTTCTGCTAGAAACAATCATCAATTAGGGTAAATATAAAACAGTTTTAAGCTGGCTTACTTGTTTTTCTGATGAAACTATTTATTTCATTTTCTGTTGTAGTTGGTACACCCTATTACATGTCACCAGAACGAATACGTGAACAAGGTTATGATTTCGCATCAGATATATGGTCCCTTGGATGTTTACTTTATGAAATGGCCGCACTACAATCACCGTTTTATGGTGATAAGATGAATTTATTTCGTCTGTGCCAAAAAATTGAACATGGTGATTACGCTCCATTACCTAAAGAAATTTATTCAGCTGAAGTTAGTTTATTTTATTAATGCACTTTTATGCACTACGCTATTGCTTTATGGGCAGGGTACTTATTGTGTGTATAGTACTTCATGTTATGATTTTATTCAAGTGAATTGAGCTACTTTTAAATCATGAACTATTTGTACAATGTAAATTCGTATCGCTTTACGTTTGTAGATAAGTTCGTTGATGACACACTCTACTCAGATTATTTTACACTAAAATTATTCAGTAATAAAGGTTTCTAATTTTAATTCAATACAGAGTCAGGTAATAGTAAGCAAATATATACGCCCTATATTCACGTAAGGCTTAAGTTTCCCCATTGTAGTTGCAGTAACTTCATCAGTTTCTAGAAGAGGACATTCTAGGAACTGTGACTAATGATTCCGTTGCATCCCATATGTTAGAAAGGATTTCTAAGGGTTTGATTGGACCCGGTATTAATTAATTGTAAGTAACAAATGAATAATCAGTGTGATTTTGTGTCAACCACCATTTAATTAATTTTAGAAAGATTCCCAACACTTCTATGGTTGTAAAATTGTTTTTACCGAAGATTGACAGAAGCTGGAGAAACGTTAGAAACCAACTAGTTTATCCACATTTGAGAATATCTAGAAGTGAATAACTTCAAATTCTCCAGAAAATAAACCAACAACCTTCATACTCCATCTATTAGGATAAATTTAGAACAGTGACTAGTATTTAACAGTAATCAATTATATCAGTCATTGTTATGACATATTTGAAATTTATATGACTATCGTAACCAATGGTTGGAGACTCTAAATGACATGGCTCAGAATCGATCACAATGGGGTAGGTGTATACACTCTTTATCTTGCCCTAAACCTTGAGATTAAAATTGCTTCATAACTTTCTTCATTCCTATACCATGTCCTTATATGCAATCTATCTTTTATATACTACCACCACTGAATTAACTACTTCTATGAATCCAGTGTTCATCTTGTTGTGCTAATGAGGTATGGCAACTTGGACCGATACATATATGTGCCTAGTCCTACGTTGTAGCTGACTGACTGATATTCTCCCACTAGACCACATGGAATTTTTCATAATAATAAACGTTTGAATTCTAGTAAGTAAGGAATCTTTTGAAGACTGACTTAAAATTGTTTTCAATCTTACAACGTTTAAATCCAGTTCTTCACTTGATTAAAAATAGTTTGATAATCATTAATCTAGACGATTCATACAATTATCTTAACATCAATAAAACATGATGAGGTCAAAGTTAAAACTAGTAGGTATCTCCATAATTTACAAAAATCATAGTATATAACAAAGCCTATTTATAAATTGAAATTATGAGTCTCTTCGAAATTTGTTGTTGAATAAAGCTGTAATTCCAACTATTTTACTGTTACCTTATTTACAAGTAAATCATGATGAATGTTAGCATAGATTGGAACAGCAATTGATAGTAAAACTATCTAATATTTGGAAACTGAGTTACACAGTGTTGTGACGTGTGGTATCCAAAATTTAATACTGATACACGGTGTGCTATGTGTTAGCCCCCCGATTGACTACTTGAGCGAGAACACAAGAGTGAGCGAGAAAGTGTATTGGGCTACCGAATAAAATGCACAAATACTCATCCATATATATATATATATATATATATATATATATCCCAATGAAATGCACTTGAATTTTATGTCACTTGTGATTGCTATCGATTGACCTTTTCATTGGGCTGCTTCTGATTGGCACTCTATCTCACAAAGTGTTTTAATTTATTAACCTCTTATAAACAAGTTGACCGTTTGATAACTATAAATTGCACATCTTTTTTTAATTCTAATCAAAACTATACTTTATCATTACAGCTTCGTGAATTAGTCACTATATGTATACAAAAAGAACCAACGAATAGACCAACTATTACACATATTTATAATATAGCTAAAGAGATGCATGAATTACTTAATGGAAAGATTTCCTCCTCTCCTTCATGTTCTCAACTTGATTGTCGACCGTCTTCAGCCACTACAAAATAATTCCCCTCATTTTCATTGTCCTCTACATCGAATATTGTAAAAGATAATCAAATTATTAATTAAATACCATTCCAACTGCTTTTATTTATTGTCTTTCAATCTTTTCACAAACACAAAAATTTTTCCCAACTGCTGTCTAACACAAGATTGCACAATTTACAAATTATTTTTTTTCAATATTACCATACTACTGAATTCCAAATAATCTTTGTGCTGATTGATTTGATTTTTCTTTTTCTTGCCTTCTCTTTTTTCTTTCATTATTTTGTATCATATAGTAGTAGTTTTAGTTTTGTAGAAAAAAAAGATAAAAAAGAACAATGAACTAGATTGAACAGTTTTCATTTATTTATATAACATCTTCAAACCCTAATCTTTCACATTAATGCCTATAATCTTACTACTTCTACCACTATGGGATTTGAACGAAGTTCTACGTTGTGACTGACTGAGAAATAGTTTGTTATAGAAGATAAACTTTTTCACTTGTGAAATAATATATCTTTCATAAGTCATGTAACATAAATTCCATAAAAAGAGTTCTTTACTTCCATTGAATTCCTTCTGTTTGTTTGAATGTTTGTTTGTTTTTTTTTGAGAGAGAGAAATTTCATGAACTGATTGCCTCTAATATTATTCTAGTACGTTTTTTGTTTATATTAATTATTTAATTAATACTTTCATTAGATTTAGAAAATATAATTTTATTCTATGATTATAATTTTTTAAAACTTAATGAGTGTTGTCAGAAGGGGTTTTTGTGGGGATTTAGTATTTGCATAGTTGAAAGCATGAGTCAATTGAATCTAGATAACCATGGAAAATCTGGAAGCACTGCACGATCTCGCCTCTCGAGATTTGAACCCAGGACATATCAGTCTCGCGCCAAAGCACTTAGCCGATAGACCACTGAGCCGGAATCCAACGGTGTCAATGTCTAGCTTCAACCAATCCACGAAATTGAGCAACTATTCACCAATGTCTTCAGTGAGTTGATATCTCCCAACAGACATGTTTTGAACTCTACTGGTCACTGCTTCTCACTAGAACTCCAGGAAATATCTCTTGAAGTCAGTCACTAGTGAGCATATGATTATAATCAAAAAGGGTTTTTGTGGAGATTTAGTATTTGCATAGTTGAAAGTTTGCAAAATATAATGGATTCCGCGTATTTCGATGCTTTCTCTTTCACCATATATTAGTTAAGAAATTTATTCATTTCAAGTTACTAACGTGATTTAGAATTTGAGGAAATGAATTTTCCATTAATATGGAATAAGTGGTTTAGAATGTATACATTATTAAGAATTGAATTGTTAACAAGGTTTTTCATAAATGCTTGAAATGACAGTTCTAGAATATTTAATAAGAAAACTTTATTACATGATATGACAAAAATCTAAAAAACTTAGATAGAAGAAACACATGTGATTTGGCTACCAAGGTAAATGAAGATTAACTTTTCTGGAGTAAATAGGTCAAGTTTAAATCTTCTCATTACTCTGAATTCTCTAAAGTTTATTAATGTAGATTCGAATTATTTACTGTTTAAATATCGTATCAAATTATGTTAATAATTCGAGATAACTAGTCTTACTATATAGTATGTGACTAAGGAAGAAGCAACGAAATACAGAGAACACAGTGAATAATTTCATTCTAAATTTATTTAAATTACAAATATGTAGAAAGTTTAATACGTAAAACGGGGTGACACGCAATGATGATAAATATATAATTATTAATAATTGGATGCTAGCAATATGACTAACAGTCACTTTACAGTGTACCATGTTATATAAGTATAATAATGACTGACTGAAGGCTATCCACTACAATTACGTGAATAAGTAATTGTGTCTAAGATGCTCCCTTGAATTCTAAATAGTCAGTGGAAATATATTTGAGATAACTTCAATTATAATTGGTTACAAATTTAAGGTTTTCCAATGATAATGTATACATAAATGACAAGTTACTTTTAGAAAATTAAAGTATAACATAAGAGATTGTGTATACAGTTAACGTGTTAAACAGGTTGACATTAATGAAACCTCATGTCACCTCATGTCACCTCATGTCATGTTGTTGATATGTTTTTGACTGAAATTTAATATTCCGTATTACAAACCAATAAAAATTTACTTGGTATTGTTTGCTTGTGAATTAAAACTTCACCCCATTGCATATGCAGGTGGCTATCAGGACTCAGTAGCTAAGTAGATAACGTGATGGTGTTTTAAGTGAACGGTACTGGGTTCAATTCCCAAAGTGAGCATCAACTCTGAGATGCAGGTTAATTCAGCTGACGAGTCCCAAATAAGACGAGACGCGTATCCTGGATTCCACTGCTAGCCACTATCCATCTCTGCTTATGTGAAAAACATTTTAAAAAGACATTTGCATATATTAATTAAATGAATATTTGATATTAAAACATGTTTAACTTATGATAAATACATTTTTTCAATGAAAATTGGTTCGAAATTCATACCGTTGCATGAGTGAGTGGCTACATCGACTCAGTAGCTAACTAGATAAAGAATTAACTTTCTGAAGCTAAAGGTACTGGTGTAGTGCCGTGCTTCAATAATAGTTTACTTCGATAACCGTTATTATACCAATCTTAACAATGTATAAAATCAGAAGGCAAAAGGAAGCAGCAACTACATTTTTATTGATGAATGATGCAGACCAGAAAGCTGTGAGCACATGAGCAAGTGTAAGCGAGCGAAGCATAAACGACATGCATTTGAGATGGCGGGGAAGCCAACTCGAGAGTGAAGCGAAAGATAATGCGTAGTGGAGATGGATGGAAGCCAACTCATTTTAAGCAAGCGTTGGTCAATATTTATAGTCAGATAAAAATAAATGACGGACATATGATGAATAAGATACGAAGTGTGCACTCATATGCGCTCATATAAAAAGTACTCAAGGTTAATAAGCGAATGATTAACAAGATCAAAAGATGACTCATAATGTATAGGTGAATTAGCTTGGCAAGTAGCTAGAATAAATTATGTGGGCTTAACATATAAACTGATACTACACTGGATTCGAATCCTGGAGTGAGCATCAACTTTAGGATGCAGATCTAACAAGGTGACAGATCCCAAAAGGTGTGTCTCAATTTCCACTGCCGACCACACCACCTAATTTAGATGGAATAAATTCGCTGAAAAACTAAACTTTCACGATTCTTCACTAACTTAATTTAGTAGGAATGACCACAGAAATATGAACATGTAGGTCGCTAATTAACCAAAATTCTGCTATGATATCAATTAATTCTATGATTAATAGCCATGGTAATCAAATACTGAGCTGAGAGTTGATCCTTACTGCCATAACCTAACTAAATGTAAACTTCACTGTCGGTAAATATTAACGATATTCAACACGCGACCAAATACATTTAAGTAATCTGTTTATAGCGTAAAATATAGGCATATTATATTTCCTATCGAAAGGATTAATGATGAATGTATTTCATTTCTTTTTTCTAAAGGTGTCAATGCAACGGAGGCATCAGTGACTAAAAACTAAATTCTTGCTCAATCACAAAGGGTTATATCTCGAAAAGTTAACGATGAACCCGTTATTCAACACTAGTGTAGTGTTTGTAATTGTTTACTCGACCAAAAACTGACATACATAAACAATTGACAATGTGGTTAAATCAGTTGTAGTTTTTGATATTTATTCGGTAGTCTATATAATTAAAATAAATACTATTTTAACGTAACCAATACCTTTTCACTATGTAAGCGCTTCGAAATTAATTTCTGCTCGAAAGTCACATGTCTAACCAAATATAACTGGCCAATACAACTTTACTTGGATCGAACAACACCCCTTATTTAAGCAATATAATTCACAACTTCGATCAAAGAAAAAAGGTGTTCACTATGGGAGTTAATACTGAGAACAAAAAAGTTGTTTTTTTACCAGTTGATGCCAGCGATCATTCTGCTCGAGCGTTTAAATGGTATCTGGATAATATAAGGGGGAAAAACGATGAGTTACACTTTGTATATGTAATTAAACCAATATTTACAACACCAACAATTGAATTGGCCATGGCATCTTCACCAATAACCGATATTATACATTCAACACAGGAGAATATTGAAAATGCAAAGAAACTTTTACAAAAATATTTGATAAAAGCAAAGCGTTTTGGTATTTCTTGTCAAGCATTTGTTCATGTAAATGCTAAACCTGGACCAACTTTGGTAAAATTCGCTGAAGAACAGAAAACCGATATTATAATAATGGGATCCAGAGGACTTGGTTTGATTCGTAGCACATTACTTGGCAGTGTTACAAACTATGTAATGCATCATACAAAAACTCCACTGGTAGTTATACCTCCCCCAGTAAGATAATTCTTATTTACTAGTGTTTCAGTACTAGCTATACTTATTAACTCAGGATAGTTTCTATTATTTTGAAATAAATTGTCTGTATGTTATGTAATTGCTCATATTAATTTAATCCTTTCAGAAGTGGTATTTTTTTCTTTCAGTTTTTAAGTTTAGATCAATTACATGACTGCATTTAGCTCAAGAATAATGGAAGCTTTTCGATGCTACAAAGAGTGTGATTAGAACTAAGAGAATACTTTAATTTAGTAAGCATAAATACTTATAAATTTGTACAATTAGTTCTTATATCAACAGAGGCAAGTTAACTAAACTTTGTTACATAATCACTTCGATATAGTAAAACATACAAACATTCACTATTCATTGAACAAGCAATGTGCATCATATATTCCTAACCTCTCAATGTTTGAAGTGATAAATGTTTGATTACAGTTAGAATGGCAAAATTAGGTGATACGACTTTGTATTTATAATAATTTGTAAGTATATACTTTTTTACATTAAGCATCCAAATAAGTAATACTTTAGTAGAATGGTATTCATATAAACTATTTGATATACATATGATAACTTTAGATAATATACTCTTTCAAGCTAGTGAATTTCCACACTAATATATTTGTGGAACACCCTGATAAAATGTTGATTTGATGTTTCTTGATTGAGTTCGGGTACAACTGTAAATGACTATCCATACACTGTATAGTTTCTATTTAGCCCACGAGAATCGATTGTTGAATTCAAAAGAAGGATATACATATTCTATAGAATGTCTACTAGTTTAATATAAAAGAGAAGGGACACTAAAAAGTTTATATTATCTTAAAAGACATGATCCATAAACTATTTTAACAGAAGATCAGTCACAGAGTTGTTGGTACTGTGAAGTATAAGTTCGAGGAAAAAATAACATGATCAGAGTTGACATAATTTCAGAGTACAATATTGATTTCTGAATACATGCCGTAACAGTTTTAAATCTTGTAAGTAGTACGTGAAAAACGTACGTAAGCAGGAAAAGTGATGTAGAAATAATATCATGAGTGTTTTGAAATAACAGACACCACACTTTTTAGTTGGAAGGTACATCATACATTTAAGTCACTAGTGACACAGCTTGGTGCATCATAACACCATGTTCAGTATTTACTGATTACCATTGTTACTTTACAGGCTTATAGTACGTTGAGTAGCTGTATAAAGCGTTTAACTTATAGAACAGTACAAGATTTACTGAATCAACACAAATGTCGATGATCTGGCTCGAAAGCAGGTTTCTTATAATATTCAGATATACAATTAACTTTTCATCTCTTGCAAG